CACCTGGCCAGCATCCTTGTCCGGGGCACCCACAGGCCACTTCAGAAAGCTTTCTGCTATTCTGTCAGGCTCTTCCTGTTAATTTATCACACAAGACATCAGATTTTAAAAAGAGGAAACTTGCATCACTGAATAAAACCTCTCCAAAGAAACTGTGATCTAAAGTTGTTCCATAATGCCCATTTTTACCTTGTTTTCCAGTTTGCATAATCATTTGAAACATTTATAAGTGACAATTTATATCTATTTATAACAATTTACAAATGTTGATGAATAATTCAAAACTTTATAATTTATAGAAACTCACAATAGCTTACTCTTGGCAGAGCTTGACATGCAGAAACATAGGCTTGGGAGTTACCAGGAGTCCTTGAGAAAAATACCAGCTTGGCACCCTAAACGGTGGTTCTAGTCCCTAGAGTATTTGCGTACAAAGTAATTTTGTTCCATTGTATCTTGTAGACAAATGAGTGAATTCTAAATACTGTAGGCTGTGTGGAAAAACATACTGAGGCTTCTAGGTTTATAGGAAATAGCACAAAGTGTCTCCCGCCTTATGTCAATTTCAAGGGACTCTCAAATATACCAATGAGATCTGCCTGTTCCACCCTCCTGGCCTGCCCCCCGGACAAACCTAGTGACGCCCAGAGAAGCTTCCTGATTTGCTCCAGATCCCATTTGAGGGACCACACAGTAGGATTAGAGTGTCAGCATTTTTGTTCTCAGGAGAGAGCTTTCCTCTAAAATCACAGGACTTCCACAAAGAAAAGGACATACATTCTGCCACGTGGGCCACTTTACCCACCCCTGTGTCAGTGGGCTGGACCTGCTGTGGTTGATATTTGCTGTGACGACCACCCATACAGCCCAGGGTGCCACATGGCAGCATCCCAGCAGGACCCTCTGTGCCTGTGGACAGCTCGGTGCCCTCTGATTCAGGAGGGCAATGTTAGTCCACAGCTGAGCAGAGCCTCTGTTAAAGAGAGAACAGAAAACCACCGAAAAGCCCTCTCTCCTGGGGCCTTAGGGCGTGTGTTGCAGCATCTGGGAGAGAGAAAGAGACTGTGGTTAGCAGTCTGTGTGACGGCCATTGCTTGGGAAGAGGACTCTGCAGTTTCCTCCCTCTCGCCTCACACCCTCAGGAGCTGGCGGCTTGTTTCTGAGGTGTGAGGGTCCCCTAGAAGTGCCTCACCCTTCCTTCTGCCTCAGAAGCCAGAGGGATGGTGAGGGAAAGCACGCTGGAGCTTGGCGGGTGCCTGGGACCGTGCAGCCCAGGAGTGCTGTGTGTCTGCAGCGATGGGGGCCTGTGAGGCCCCAGGCACTTTGCCGTGCTGGGCTGTTAAGCCAGCTATGAACCGGGATTATTCTACTCCAGAGTGTGCTCTGCAGGGGCTTCTCTTTTTGTGAGATAGCTTCCAATTTACAAAAAACTCAGAAGAAGAGTGTTTGAGGCTTCTAGAGATAATTTGCCCAGATTCATCAATCACTTGGTATGTTTGCTTTTCTTTTTTCTCTCCCTACCTCTTCCCTCCATCCTTTCTCTCTCTCTCCTTCCCTTTATTTTAGCCAAAAGTCAGAGAGGTGAGGTGCACAGGGCCATTTTCTAACAAAGCCACAGTGCAGTTATTAAAATCAAGAAATTTAACATTTATAACAATTATGTATATAACCATGTTTGTATCAGTTATGTATATGACCAAATATGGTTATGTCCATAACCACATGTCACTGATTCATCTAATAATGTGCTACAAACTTTTCTTAGTCCTGTATCCATTTTGGAATCATGCATTGCATTTAGTACCTGGCTCATTTATACTCAATTAAACTTGAACAGCCTTTAGCTTATTTTGTTTCTTGAGCCAAGGTCTTGCTATGCAGTTCTGCCTGGCCTTGAGCTGACCTTGAACCCAGGCTGGCCTTGAACCCAGGCCATCCTCCTGCCTCAGCCTCCCAAGGGCTGGCGTCCTAGGCATGCACTCCATGCTTGCAGTGTTGATATTTGATGAGTGCAGGCTAGCTGTTTTTAAAATGTCCCCCAATTTTAGTTTGTCTAAACTTAATGATTTGAAAATGAGAGTTAAGAATCCATGACAGGAATCTCACAGGTGTGATGCTGTGTTGCTCTCCGGAAATGACATCAGGAAATGTGTATTCTTGGTTTGTATGATTACTAGACATGCTTCCTTTAATCACTTGCAGGATGCAATAGGTTTCTCTTGTTTAAAGTTTTTCTTGTTTCTTTTTATAAAGTTTCTCTTGTTTTCTTTTTATAAGTAATTATCTGGAAGTTCTTTGAAAATGTACAAATATTCTATCCTCATCCAACTACCCTACTTCCGGTTTAGGCATCCACTGATGGTTTTCTAAATCTGTATCTCCGAAAATTACTGTCTGTTTCCTACTTAAGGAGGAACTTTCTCCCTCTTCTATTTATTTATTCATTTAACAAATCAGAGCAAGGGCCCATGGGTTCGTATGCTTGTTTAACGTCTACAATTCCGTGCTTGATGCGATGGTTCAGCTCCCCCAGGTTTGGTCAGTGGTGATCCTGGTTCCCCTGGGTCTTTTTGACCTCTTCCCATGGTCCTTCACGTAATTCCTTTTTTGGGCAGAAAACACTGTCCTGGGGTCATCTTGGACTTTCTTGACCCAGAGCTAAAATGAGCCATTTTTCCAGAGTCCTGGTTTCCTTCAGGGGAAAATAGTATCTCAAAATCACCTTCTGGGAATTAACTGTGCTCCTGACTACAAGCCGCTTTTCTGCCTCTAGTGCTGCTCTCCAGACAAGAACAGGAAATATGTGTCTCTCTGTGTGCCCGTCTGTAGGCCCACATCTTTCTTAAAAATCATTGAATTCACTGAGACCTGCACTACCGTTTGGTGCCGCAAGGATCCTCTCTGCCGTCCTCTGCACACAGAAGTCTGCTGTGTCCACCCGGGAAATCCCACCGTGTTATGCTCCCCCCTGTGCTGTCTTCCACTCCATTTGTTCATTTGCCGGCTTAGAACACAGGGAGAGTTGTTTCCACGTGGCTAACACAGAGCCACTGCAAACAGGATTTCCTGGCTCTGGTGCTTATTCACAAAGGTCGATATTTACATGCAGTGAGGTGAAATTCACACGCCTGGACGCCGTGATGGGCACAGCGCGGAGATCCCACAGATGCCGTGTCCTCCCGTCCTCATTCCAGAACTTCCCCTTCTCCAGTCAACACTTACTTAAAAGACAGCTACTTTTCTGGTTTTACTTATTTTACATGGATTTGTTGTCTTGACCAAGTTTTTAACAAGTAATTTGTTATATCTAGAAGATTTCTGGAAAAAAAAGAACCAAAAGTTATTATTGTTTCTTGTAGGTGGATCCTGACTTATGGCACATCCTTTTTTGACAAATCAGAGTCTATAACAAATCCTCAAACCCAAATCAATTGCAGACTCCTCCCAGGCCCACATTACCTGGCCAGCCTGGGCAAAGTGTCCGAGCCTATCTTGTCCTGGTCCCCTTGCTCTGTGGGGTCCTCGCCCTGGGCATCTTCGCACTCCTCAGCTGTATCCCTGGCTCTTCCTTACCGAAGAGCTCGCCACCCACTGTCCCCCCTTGAGGACAACCAACCCCAGATTTCTACCTGCGTGGCTTTTTGCCACACCCTGACCTCAGCGTGACATCATCTGTTCCAAGCCCTGCCTTGCAAGGGGAAGGGGCCGTCACCTTGCTTAGCCCTTCTCCTGGGTCCACCTCTGTCACACCCTCTATTTGACTTTTTGTAAAGCTCTCGTCATGCTCCAGCTTCCTTGTCTGTTACTGGTTGTCTCATGAGATGCAGTCTTCATTGTTCCCTCAGTATTTAGAATAATGTCTATCAGAGTGTGTACATGCATGTGTGTACATGTGTATATGTGCATGTTTGGACATGTGTGTGCATGCGTGTACATGTGTGTATGCATGTGTGTGAGGATGGGGCTCCCTGTTTGTGGGATGGATAGATGATCTAATAATTGAGCTTGGTATTCTTTGTGATATGCTTAGTGCTGGAGAATTTCAAAGATGAAATATTTTCCTTATATGAATTATTGATGAATATAAATCAACATTTCTCTACTTTTCCTTTTTTAAACTTTTATCTCTCTTTTCCAATGAGCAAATATAACACTGCTGTTTTACTATAATATGCTTACATGTAAAAAGTGTGTTTAGCCCCGGTACCGATAACAAGTTAAAAAAAAAAAAAGAGCAAACAAAAAAAGTGTGTTTATTGACTTTTTTGAGCAAATGATTCAGAAAATAGTGTTTTCACTTTGAAATTGTAGAAATATTAAATATTAATGTTGTTGCAAAGCCTAGTTAGAGTCGAATTTAATGCTGCTGTTTAATTAAAACAATTATTTCGATGCTGGAGATTGAAGCCAGGGCCTTGCACATGCTAAGTTTGTTGTCCCCCCCCAACTGAGCTGCACCCCAGCCCTGCAGGGCGGGCTTCACACGAAGCCCAAGTTCACTTTACCTGGAGATTACTCAGCCCTTCTCCCCACGGAAATGAAACCAGGGTTCTGTCCTCAGAGACACCTAAATAAGAAAGCATGTGCCATTAGGGACAGGAGCTGGGGATGCTGGCGGATACTCCTGTGGTCTGGGATGGGACACAGTGGCTCCCTACCCTCATTAGAGGTGAATCTTGGAGCTTGGCTTTGTGTTTGGCTCCTTGCTGCTCAGTGGCTTTGGGTGCAGTCAGAGCTCACAACTGGGTTTATTTTTGCTCATTTAACAGATTTTCCGTTATGGCATCAAAATATCCAATATTGGAAACAGTCCATCTCCAGATTTTCTTTTCTTTATTAACCTTAAAGTTTCAGGACAGTCTTTGCCAGCTCTAGATGAAAGCTCGAGTTAAGGGACATAATAGTTACAGTGCCACAGTTAGTCCACTGTTTGCTGTGGGGTGAGGACCCAAGGGGCCGTGGGTAGAAGCCCTGTGCATGAGTCTGTGTTTGTTTCTCAGGAGCATCGCAGCCACTGATCATGAACCAACCGATGCCAGGAAATCCTTCCCTTGCTTTGATGAGCCCAACAAAAAGGCAACTTACACAATATCTATCGTCCACCCCAAGGAATATCATGCACTTTCAAACATGCCCGTGGAGGTGAGTGATTCTGAGTGCTTCATTCATGTCTGGCCACAGCACCAGCTAAGTGACCTGATTTGTGATGGAGGAGAAGACACATTGAATTCTAAAACTACACGTGCACTATTGTTGATTTACAAGATTGAGAGTGTTGTTTTGCAGCTTTTTTTCTTTGACTTTTAGAAGGTATCTCAGTCCAGCAATAAAATCACTTTGCAGATTGTAAGCAAGAGACAATCCAGTAGACATACAATGGGTGATCAAAACAAATAGTGAATATTAAATTTTAAAAATTATTACAGTAAAGGACATTGCTATCAATCCCCTTCAGAAGACTCCTGTCCCGCTATTCTCGACATTTCATAAAAACAGTTCTGAAAATCCTCTTTTGTGAGTGCTTTTACAAAGTATGATCAAAATATGATGAATGCTGCTTCTGAGAATCATCGAGGGAAGGGCAGCCTCATAAAAACATTGCTGTCAGGACTGGGGATTTAGCTCAGCGGCATAAGCGCCTGCCTTGCAAGCAGGCAGTTGTGAGTTCAATCCCCGGTACCGATAAAAAGGAAAAAGACAAAAAAAAAAAAAAAAAAAAACATTGCCGTGTGTCCTCATCTACCTGTCCAGTGGACCTGATACCATGTCGCTTCTGGTTTTCCCCAAAGTCAAAATAACCACGGAAAGTAAGATTTGAGCATAGACTCAGAACATGGAGGCAGCCTGCACAGAGCAGCTAAAGACCCTGGTGACAGGGGACCCCAGAGCTGCAGAAAGTGGCGAGAACTAAGGCATAAACGTGCTCAGAGTGATGGGGAAGATTTTGAAGGGAATTCACAGCAACGTGTGTCGTATTGGAGTGTGTTTTTAAAGTGTAAGCTTTCACCATGCTTTTAAGTCACACCCTCTACGTTGGCTGGAACTTTTACTCATCATGGTAAATTAATGCAAAACAAATGGACATATAGACAGCATGTCCCAGTGCCTATTCACTAGTTACTCTCTAGCAAAATATAAACCTAAGTTTTTAAATAGATAAAGTTCTATTTAAAGATCATTACTTAACACAGTGGAAGCCAACTCCAGGGAAAGCTGTGCTTATAGAATTACTGGTGAAAGAAGTGTTTGTCCAATGTTAAATAAGTAACGGGCTCTACTAATTTCTGTCTGTATAATTATTAATTAACATTAGACTTTCCTCTGTGACTGTTCCTCATGTGTAATGGGTGATGTGGTTAACTAGAATGTTACTGTTTCAAAGGAGAGGTTTACTATAATTTATGCATTTGACATGTAAAAAGGTCAGGCTTATCCTTAGGTGAAACTGATCTCATCCCTCCTGACTTTCGGATTCACTATCCAGTTATTGCCACTGAAATTATCCCTTTTAATACTAACAGATTCCTTGAAAAAGCAAACAGAAATAAAAAGAAAATGCAAGAGGGTGAAAATGTAAATTCTCATCGGCTATCCACACTAGCCGATCCACAGGATCAAATCAATCCTGTGATTGACTTGGTGGGGAAAGAGGAAAGGATGTCCTTCATGTGACCCAGGGGACGGGACCAGGGCACAGAGCTGCCAGAAAGTCTCAGCAGGATTGAGAGAAATGAAAATAGGGGGAAAAACAGAACACACCTCTGCTTAAAATGACCTCTGCAGTTCACAGATTTATACTTCTTTACTTTCTCCTTGGTCCAGATAATCTATAAGAAGAAGGATAATATTCGGGGTCGTTGAGATATCAAAATTGATGCTGCTAGGTTTCCATTGCAGAATAATGTAACTTTGCTGGACCCCGGATACTTTTACTCAAATATGCGCATACACACAGACACACACACACACACACACACACACACGCACACGCACACGCACACGCACACACACACACACACACACACACACACACACAATTAGTTATGTGTGGATTTTAGTCCAGCCTTTCTGCCTGGTCTCTTTTGAAAGCTTCTCACTTAGTGGCCACCAGGGGACATGGAGGTGTTTAAACAGTGGCTGCTGGAATTGGGCAAGTGTCCAGGGTTCAAGAGTGAGGAGATGATTGGCAGGGAGGACCCCAAACCAGAAGGACCTATGGTCAGGTAAAGCCACGGAACCTCAGCTCTGTCCACAGCCACGAGGTAATGACTCCAGCAGCCCCACGCTGGGTCTCCGATGTACACAGCAGAGGTGGAAAAGAGCAGCCAGCGTTCCATTATTTCTGACACAGCGACTGAACACAGAGCACACAGCCAAGTTAGCAGCGTCTTAGTTTGTCCCCTCTGAGCACTAGCTTATTCTTCACTTAGGGGTCACAGTCCCCCCGGATAATCACAGTCAGGATGGTCTGTTTACTGGACAGAGCAAACTCCTGTTCAGGTGATGTGGCACTCAGAATTTTATTCTCCCTGAGAATCTGATAGTATATAGCAATCACTCACAGAGCTGCAAATTAAATAAAATTTGCTTTATTATTTTGAAAATTACCATAGCTGTACTTCTAAGATTTGTTTGTTTGTTTTGTCTTTTTGAGACAAGATCTCCCTATGCAGTCCAGACTGGCCACGCACTCACTTTGTAGCCCAGGCTGGTCTCGAACTTGTAAAGATCTTTCAGCTCCCGATCGCTAGGATTGTAAACCTGCGCCACTCTCCCTGGCCGCTTGTAAGATTTGACAAAAGGGTTCTCACTAGGGAATTTGGTCTGAATTTATCTCATAGTGATGAATCTTCGGATAAATAAAGATCACCTTGTGTTTTCCATAGCACAGTGAAACACTGGATGACAGGTGGGTCCGAACCACTTTCCAGAAGTCTGTCCCCATGAGCACGTACCTGGTGTGCTTCGCCGTGCATCAGTTCACCACCGTGCAGAGGACCTCCAAGTATGGAAAGCCGGTGAGTCCCATTAGCGCTTCGAAATTTACTGCCCCCGCACTGTGATTAATTCTCTGCTTTTTAAAACAGATTTTGTGTGTCTGTTTTTCACACAATGAGCCAAAGAAGACCACTAGTCAGCAGGACCCGTGAGCATGGTGATACATTGAGCAGTATAGCAAGAAGGCCCCATTTTATGTGTCCCTTCTTCTTCATGTTACCATTTTTGTTTTCAAATATATACAGAAGTCAAGATTCTTACACCAGTTATGACACATGAGATCATGCAAAGCAATTGTATACCACAATCGTTTCTCCCTTTAGATGTTTTGCTTTGTACATGCTTTTCCTTCACACATGGATTTTGTCTGGAAAGTGAGTTGATTCACCTCTGTGCTATGTGTAATATTGTGTATCTATGTCTGTATACGTATGTCTGGTAATATAGCCGTGGCAGTATTTGCAATACTATTTTATTAGGAAATCACCAACCCATTTTCCAGATGGGAAAACTGAAGCTTAATGAGTTTACCTCATTTTCTCGAGATCTGACTGGCAAGTGGTGAAGACAGATCCCAGCTTCTTTCCACAGAATGTGCCCTGCTGAGCCTTGTACAATGTGATATTGTGGAAATACCTTTCCCTCTTTACTAGCTGCTGGTGCAGAAGGGATGGTTTCCCTCTTTCGTCCTGGAAGGTTCCCCTTCATTTTGGTCCGGTAGGGATGGATATTGAGGTACACAGAACCCAGATTTCCAGCATATGCCTAGACAGTGTCCAAATTGTAGTGAGTGGGGAAGGTCAAAAGCCCTCTCGAAGGGACTGTGTGAGTATCGGGGTGACTCCTCCAGTTTTCTTGGGATGACTCCTCCGGTTTTCTTTTTCCCTGCCACATACCTTGCTTTGACATTGCTTTCGTGGGAGCACGGGCATTTACCGCTGTGGCCGACAGACGATCTTAGGTATGAAGACAAATGGCACTAGAAAGAGACACTGTTCCCAGCTCGAATTTAGTGCCGTCCACGCCTCTCCTGTTGCTTGTCACGCAGTTAAGCACATTAGTCAAGCTTGCTTTTCTCTTTCAACCTCACAGCAAATATGGAATTTTAGTCTGATGGTGCCTTTTTTTTTTTTTTTTTTTTTTTGGTAAGACTTCAATTTCACACATGTGCAAGTGTTTCTCACAAGTTTTTAAAAATTACTACTTTCTGGGCAAGCTTTTCTATTTTGGGCAGAAATATCAAGATAAAGCAGAAAAGCTGATTGATTTTTCTAATGATTATACAGTTAGTTTCATAAAGAAGCGTGATCCAACCATCCTGGTCAATGGAGAATTTCGTGCATGGAGTAAATTTCCGTTAGTGGCAGTGGGCTCAGATTTCCAGGAACAGGCTGAGGGGCCGTGAGTGGCTCTTCTCACTGGGTGAGTCATCAGCCAGCAAGGCTGAAGGGTAGGTTTTATACAAAGAATTTGCAGTGACATAATGGAAAACACAGTTTGGAAAAAGACCGCCAAATGTTCTGTGTTAATGTCCTTAAACAATCCTCCTGTGACAGCGCAGAGTTTAGCGTTCTGTCTTAAGTCAGGGAAGCCTTTCATCATTTGGAGGGAGATGGGAGATAACGCTGTCCTAATATATTAGTCCTGATTATCAGTTTAATAAGAGGACTTAGTTAAGGGATTTCCCATGAAACGAGCTGGCATGGAACCAGTACGTGGCCCTTCCCTCCTGCCCAACACAAGCAACCCGAGCTTCTCCCCTGCAGGAAGCTGAGGCTGTTTCCCTGCCAGGGCGAACAGATCTCATGGCAGAAATTAGAGGGTCGCATGGAATGTTCATGCTCCTCAGGACATTCGTCGTCTTTGGCATCTGAAAGGTCACCTTGCTCTCCTCTCACTCAGTCTCTATTAAAATCTGTATTGACACCCTACTACAAAATGCTTTCACTATGATTTCTCACTCCAAAGAAAATTCTCCGGAAAATCAGCCCACTAACTCACCTGAAGTCTAACATCAGACGAAACCCACACCAGGTCCAGGCTTACTTCGATTCTTAAGACAACGAGGTATAAGAAGAAAAGAAGCAATAGGAAACAGAAATTCTAAGAAAAATACAAACACAGTTGGAGTAAATGGCAATAATTGGAGAAAAAAATTTAAAGCTGTAGAAAATTAACATTCAGCACATACACTGAGAGACTCAAAATGATGCAGTCATCACAAAATCAAAACAAAAAGTGATGAAAAAATAATCAGAAATAGGAGTTGGAATTCAAAAACATTTCCAAAGTAAAATTTGGTTCTCATCCCTAGGAACCTGCTTCTAACCAATTCTTTCCAAAAGCAGAGCTCGGTAAGCCTGCATTCACGGCTCTTGCCTTCTGCTCTAGGCGTTTATCAACTCCTCAGAGACGTTAATGTTTTTTTAAAGCCCCAATATGCCAGGCAAAGGTTCTGTTTTTATATCTTACCAATCATTTCTGAAAGTCAGGAGCAGTGGGGTACATGAAATTGCCAATTTATTGCACCATCTTTTTTTTTATGTCTTCCATCTTTGACTCTAAGTCCTACATTACTTTTTCAATGAAAAGAAAAATAATTCATTAATTAAAAATTAAAAATGGAGCTGGGTAGTTGTTTTGTACAACATTTTTAATGGAAATGCTGTTCGTGGTATTCACTGATAGATTAATCCCTTGTCAGTAATCAGATTATACCGTATAATTCAAGAATCTATAATCCCCTGATTAACTCATTTAGGAATAGTCACCGTTCTGACAAGTGAATCCAGTCAAGACCTGGGTTCTTTTAACTGTATCCTGGAGTAGTGGAACCTTACATCACATGCAAAATATTCTTGAAGTGTAGGCGGTACTATGACTCTGCCCAGGATAGCCCAGGATATTTTTATTTCTATGGTTTCTTTTTGGAAGAGTAGTTGAGCTCCTTTTTGATTCAATCCTCACAAAATAATTAGTACCTTGAAGAATTACTCAGTGTTTTTGCAAAAATTAAGGCCAACCACTGATGGAAGCTTTTTATAGCTGTTCTCAAGGAATGTATTTCTGAGGACTCTTTTAAAGTTTGATTGGCTCAGGGTTTTCCAAGTAAATAAAATCACTGAATTCCATCCCAGAAAAACCAACACACCCTAAAGTGAACAAAGTGCGGAGAGATGATACGACTTTTTGTCAGGTTTTTAGTTATAGGCTTAAAAATTGTGGTGTTATTGTTCTTTTAGGAACAATATCATATCCCATATCATGGGAAATAATGAACATATTATTAGGTTGATATTTTAGCCCAAACTGTCCCACTGGAATATGCAGTGGTACCATGGTTCACAAATATTTTTGTTTGCAAATAATTTGGAGTTTTTGCAAATTTTTATTTTTGTTTGCAAACTGTGACAGATAACAAACACAACCATGGCCATCTTTTCCAAAACTATAGAACAAATTAAGTTTGTGAATTGAGGTACGGCTGTATTGTAATTTCGTTTTTCAAATCCAGGATCATGTAAATTTTAAGTATATTTTATACGTTGTAGTTTGTTTACATTAAGGGTTTAATATTATAGAAAATTTGGAAGAAAAACAAGAAAATGGAAAAATTACCCATATTGTATCCTGTAAAATCATTTTAAGTTGTTGGGTTTGCGATGCCTTCACAAGTGTATTTGGCTACAGTGACTGTCATAATTTCTGAGCTTTGTATCCATCTTCAAGGAACCAAGTTCAGGACAAATTAAATGGCCCTGATGCACCTTTTCTGAAGCAATAACAATCCTAGTTATTGCCTTGAATTCCTTTGGGGCATTTGGCCTCTGTCTTTTGTAAAGACGGAGGTCCAAATAGGAGAAGTGACCTTGCTAGAGAATACTTCAACTCTAATTTTCCTTGGCTTCCCTGAGCCAAAGAGTGAGTTGGAATAGAATGCTAGTTGGAAGTATTATCCATTTAGTTAGGAATCAGATTAATTCTATTAACTCAATCAGATTTTACTGTGCCTCTTTCCAAAAACTCTTACAGAGTGATCCCTGAGATAATTGTACCTAGAACTATACGTTTGACTAAATTCTCCCTCCTTGCCTGTAACTTGCTCCTTCCATCTTAGTTTATTGTTCATCTGGATTAGAAGATTAGTAGAGGGCAAAGAGAATCCACACCATGAATTCATTTTTAAAAGTGGGCATTATATTATAAAACCATTTTAAGTTTTGTGCTATGGTTTTTAACCTGTGCATTTGTCTTCATAGAGATAGTCTTATGAGAAAAAAATTGTTTCAATACTCAGATATATTTTTAACTTATTATGAAATAATTTCAGAGTTACAGAAAATTGTAAAGATACAACAGAGCTCTACACTCAATTTTCTTGTAATGTTAACACCGTATATTATATAACCAAACCCAGGGAACTCATATTTGTGCAATTCTATTAACTGAACAAGTTTTGTTCAGACATCAGCAGAGTTTCCAATTTGCACTTGCTCTGGTCCAATACAAGACGCATCTACACAGTCCCGAGTCATCATGTCATCTTGGTTTGCTGTTTGTGATGTTTTCTGACTTATCTTACTTTTTTTTAAGTGGGTGCATTTTTTATTATTTAAAGAGAAAGAAACAAAAAAGATACATGGAGATAAAAAAGGGTGGAAATAATACAGAATTACAGAAAAATAGATGGTAAGAAATCACCAGTTGATAAGTTACATATTTTCATCTTAGAAATAGTTGTTCAGGTTACAAAATTAAAGTATGTAAAGTGACATTCAAATAGTGACACTGCCAACAGTTCTGCTCAATGATCTAACAAAAACTTAGTAATATGGTTATCAGTCCTACATACTTGTTTTTTAAAGAGGGTAAGTTTAAACATATTAAAACAGAACAAAACAGTTCAAAAAGAAACAATTTAAAGAAATACAGATTTCAAAGCAAGTCCACTGGAGATCTTCACTGTTTATCTAGTTGTCTCTAGTTTCTTCCAAATAGTTGTCCCCATCTTCACGCACAT